CTGGCTGAACAACAGCATCAGCTTTACATCGACGGAAGCAGCAGACCATGCGCGTTCAGGGAAGGCAGCAGCAGCGGCGCCGTCGCCGTTAACCTCACAGCGTCTGGTGCTAGAATCAAGCATATCGAATTTGCGGTCGAGTATCCGCGTTTTAGACAGGGATCTCAAGCTGGGCGGCGGGTTTAGGCAACTCGCAAGGATGGCGCGCGGGGCCTTCTGCCGTTGGGATGGTTCCAACAGCGCAGCAGCCGGCGTGCGCGCCGAGTTGGTGAGGCAAAGGTTGTTGCGGCAAATGGCGGTTGTGGCGCGGAGGGCAGCGGAGGTCAATGCCGCCGTTGCTGCGTTTGCTGAGAAAATAAACAGCCTAAATGGTCAGAGGGTGCCCTAAACATTTCAGAGTGTGTGCAACTGGCGGAGGTTCAGAAAGATGGCTGCATTTGGGCGGGTTTCAGGGACTGGCTTCCGCTAGAATTTGGGCATGTATAATGGCATCAGTACTACTGGTCATTTAGGAAGTGCCAGCCAAGTGCGTTGGCGCATAGTCCAACAAGCAGCTGGAGCTTTTGGATTTTGTAGTGTTGAGTTGCCTCTACAATGTAGGAAGCTAGTCTCTTGTTTGTAGTATCTTGTTTGTAACTATGAACATTTCCTACAGATATTTCCGTTGGACATTCTGATAGGCTTTCTCTAGCTTGGAGGGGATCTGACTGGTGAGTTGGGCCAGGGCCCATATCACGCATCAACTCACAAGGCATGTCTGATACAATACTATGCAGCCTAATAATATGGTTTTTAAGATGAAATTGTACAACTTCGCGACTTTCAACAAAAGAACAACGATTCATCAATGCAATTCGCTTGTCATTTTCGGTGCAATTCCGCCTGCCCATTCAACTGCATTCACCCTCCTCTGGGCAGCACCAGCCTCCGACCGACCGACCAACCTCCCTCGCTCACAGCACCGCTCCCAGCCACTCCGCGTGCGCCTCGGTGAGAGGAGATGAACCAATCAGACGCACACAAATCCGCGGTCCGACCTGAAATGTCCGAAATTTCTTGCTTCACCGCACCAAAGCCTTGCAAATCCAAGGGCTCCACACAGTCACTCAAGAGGAGCATATAAATTGGACACCAGAAGAGATTTCGGCATCACCTCTCAAAACGCGAACAACCCAGCATTCCAGCACGATACATCCGAATGGTGAGTCACCATCCTCAGACACTGATATCGACGCCTCGTTTACTCATTCGTCGCACTCTCTGATCACAGCGATTTTCGTTTCGACATTGTTTTGAGAGCAGCGCCTGCCTGAGATCTCTTCAACCAGTTAGTAGAATTCAATCTTCAACTCGACAAGTAGTAGCTCAACAATCATTATGGCACGCACAGCAGCTCCTTCCACGCTACTCGGGCTTGTCGCTCTGGTCCTCACAGGTGAGCCACTTCGCCAAGCCGTGCTTTCAGCACCAATTTCAAGCACCTCTTCACGCGCTACACGTTAAGATCATGTCTGTCACGAAATTTCGGTTGCATTACGTCCTCCAAATCTCATAGCGTTTCCGTTTTTTTTTTTTTTCAATCAATCCAGTGCTTTTGGCAACACAACGAGTCGAAGCTGGCCGGTTTCTTCCCAGCGTCGGCAGTCTTCCCACCAACCCACTTCCACCCGGCTTGAATTCAGCCGTCGCGGCAGCAGCCGCAGCAGCCAGTAACCCCACAGCGACGCTCAAATCGACGCTCTCGGGCCTCCAATCGTCTCTCAACGGCCAGATCGGGTCTCTCGACGCGCTTCTTAAGAAATCGCTCGATCAAATCTCGGCGGCTCTCAAAACCAGCCCATCAGCTGCAGACGACGCGCTCCAGGCGCAGATATCCGCGCTAAAGCAAATTTTGCTGCTTTAAACGACAGGCTCGTCAAGCTGAACGCTCTAAACATCTCAGGATCGGATTTGAACGTCACGGATTTGATTTCCTCCCAGATCTCCGGGAATCCAATCCAACATCTCCTCCATCAGCACCGGCATCATCGCAAAAATCCAGAACCCAATTTCGATAGGGCTTTTCTCGTTCAGCGAACGGTGGACCAAATCGCCATCTCGTTTAGTGGTTAAAACCTACGAAACTGTATACAATGTGTTTTTGGTATATTTTTCGAACTCATAAACATGTGTAATATTATATTTTCAGAAATGTGTTTTACATCTGTGTAGAAATTTCTAGTCCTCTTTGACGTGCTTAAGTTGTTGCAAGTATTTTATGGCAAATTACTGTCTTTTCCGTGTATAATTCATGCATAGTTAAATATCATCTACTCGAACAAATAATCATTGAGTAAAAATGTGCCAGGACGCTTAAATGACTCGACAATGTGGACAGCACGGAACACCGAGTCCACTTCACGACATCCCGGTGCAAGTTTCGAGAACGTGGGTACTTGGCCCATTCTAGGCGCTTGCAACCTGTCGCATCGTCGTTACCACCACCTTGTAGTACTGGACGTAGGCGAACCCTTTCTTGCTTTGTGCGTGCTTAAAAAGAAGAAGCACCTCTGCATACCATACCTCCTCCCCACCACTAATGGCCACATGAGAGAACCACGGGTTGCCGTGGTGCGATGGGTTTGCACGAATAAAATGAGTGACCCTGGAATTGTACTCCTCAGAGCCGGCGGGAATGGCCACGCCTGTGTAGACCTGGAGGCATTTGGAGGTCGTGTGGGCAGAACGGAAAGGAAAATGTGCAGAACAGGAGGGGGAGAAGAGTGAGTATGGCAGGCCTGAGAGGAGACGAACGTGGAGAGGGAGGTATGGGGGATGAAAGTGAGGGTTGCAGGGCAAACAGGAGCGGATGAAAGTGAGGATGGCCAGAGGGTGGAGGGAAGTGTGAGGGGTGGGGGTGGGGGATGTATGTGAGAGTAGCAGTCCAGAGACGAGAGGGAAGTGTGAGGGAGTGGAGGATGAATGTGGGCATAGCAGTCCAGAGAGGAGAAGGACGTGTGAGGGAGTGGGGGATGAATGTGGCATATCAGTCCAGAGAGGAGAGGGACGTGTGAGGGAGTGGGGGATGAATGCGGCATAGCAGTCCAGAGAGGAGAGGGACGTGTGAGGGAGTGGGGGATGAATGCGGCATAGCAGTCCAGAGAGGAGAGGGACGTGTGAGGGAGTGGGGGATGAATGCGGCATAGCAGTCCAGAGAGGAGAGGGACGTGTGAGGGAGTGGGGGATGAATGCGGCATAGCAGTCCAGAGAGGAGAGGGACGTGTGAGGGAGTGGGGGATGAATGTGGCATAGCAGTCCAGAGAGGAGAGGGACGTGTGAGGGAGGTGGGGGATGAATGTGGCACAGCAGTCCAGAGAGGAGAGGGACGTGTGAGGGGTGATGATGGGTGATGAGATTGACGGTTGCAGGCCAGAGAGGAGAGGTACAATTCGGAGGAGGGGGGGATGTGTGGTATAAGAGCGAGGATTTTAGGTCCAAGCGTGAGAGGGAATGTTGAGGAGAGGGTTGAGGTAGGAAGGCCTTTTAAAAGCAGTAACTGTCATGGGATGGTAATCCAAGTGAACACAACATGTGAGCTTACATGGAGGGTTGGGGACGTGATGCCGGCCGTTTTGAGGTCCTCCTGCAAGGTATCCAGGCGGCCTCCCAGTGCTGAGTTGTACAGTGCAAACTGGTCTGTGCTGCTTCGGCGATACGTGCTACCAGCCATGTGCATGACCACATGGGTCCTCAAAAAAATGCGCTGCCCGGTTGTTTCCGCCTGAAAGATACAAGGGAAAACAGCATAAACAGCGGACAGGGTGTTGTTTAAGCAAGAAAGATAACAACAAATTTCTGACAAAAGGATCAGTACCCAAAGCATACCTCGTAGAAGGCACAATTGTAGTCGCGCTCCTCATGGATATCACTTTCCACCTGTGCTAGCATGGATAGGAATTGATTACTTTTAACTATCGACTCGGTCCATTGGCGGCGGTTTGAGGCGCGGTACGGTCTTTTCACTGTGACTTTGTGAAAATGCTCATACATATTTGTTGAGTACTCCTCAGGCAACCCCCCCCTTCGAATCGCATCAGAATAGTGCACCACCATGTGCACTTTCACAACCTTCCAGGCAGATGCCTGGGTAGGAAACGCCTCTTTCAGTTTTGTGATCATCCTGGGGCAGTGGAGGGAGGAGGGGGGTAGGAAAGAAGTCAGGGCACGTGCAGAAGACCTGAGAATCAAGGTAGGATGAGTAAGTTCTGCCAGGAATCAAGGTCAGCTCAAAGGGAGAAGGGCAGCTCAAAGTGATAAGTGCAGCTCAAAGTGAGAAGGGCAGCTCATAGTGAGAAAGGCAGCTCATAGTGAGAAAGGCAGCTCATAGTGAGAAAGGCAGCTCCAAGTGAGAAAGGCAGCTCATAGTGAGAAAGGCAGCTCCAAGTGAGAAAGGCAGCTCATAGTGAGAAAGGCAGCTCCAAGTGAGAAAGACAGCTCCAAGTGAGAAAGGCAGCTCCAAGTGAGAAGGGCAGCTCATAGTGAGAAAGGCAGCTCCAAGTGAGAAGGGCAGCTCATAGTGAGAAAGGCAGCTCCAAGTGAGAAGTGCAGCTCATAGTGAGAAAGGCAGCTCATAGTGAGAAAGGCAGCTCCAAGTGAGAAGGGCAGCTCATAGTGACATGGAAGCGGACAAAGGGGAAACAAAAGTCCCACCTATGCGCAAGGAGATCCACTTTGGCAAGACTTTCGTCAGTGTGATAGCGCGGGCGGAAGGTGGCCTTGTACCAGCGCAAGAATGCCTGCACCGCGTCCAGATGCACTTTATCAACAAGCCCTTCTAAAATGAAGATTGCCACTTGCATCACTGCAACGGTGTTCAGCAGCAGAGACGCGAGCTCCGGATTGGAAATACGTCCCTGGAACGGGCAGATTCAGGCCGGCTATCCGCCCATGCTTCCATAGCCACTTCATCCTCCTGTATGTGGTTGTATGGCAGGAAGGGCAGAGGCAAAAAAAGCAAACAAAGTAGCAAGATCGGTTTGGTGGCTTGTGGGCTTTTGCCATACAAGGGTGAAGGAAAGGCAGGTTAGCAATCAGAGGGCAGATTCAGGGCAAGGCAAGGGAGATAGCAATCTGAGGGCAGATTCAGGGCAAGGCAAGGGAGATAGCAATCTGAGGGCAGATTCAGGGCAAGGCAAGGGAGATAGCAATCTGCGGGCAGATTCAGGGCAAGGCAAGGGAGATAGCAATCTGAGGGCAGATTCAGGGCAAGGCAAGGGATAGCAATCTGAGGGCAGATTCAGGGCAAGGCAAGGGATAGCAATCTGAGGGCAGATTCAGGGCAAGGCAAGGGATAGCAATCTGAGGGCAGATTCAGGGCAAGACAATGGAGATAGCAATCTGAGGGCAGATTCAGGGCAAGGCAAGGGATAGCAATCTGAGGGCAGATTCAGGGCAAGGCAATGGAAGCACTAACTCGTCTAGCTTGCCGTTCTTTGCGTTGTCGAGTGTAGCTATGGCGTCACGAATGTGCATCCACACCCCAACGTCCGCCTGGTGAAGGACATCAGGCATGAGCGCCAGGTATGGGTTACCCCATGGTGTGTCGGCGTATTTGAAGTCCCAAATGAATGTCTGCAGTGGGGTTTGGGTTACTTGGTCAGGTATAAACTTGTAAAACATAGTATAATGACAAACACACAGTTTTAAAAAGGCAATGAACGTACGTGGAAAGGGAATGAGGCCCACAGCGCGGCATAATCCTTAGCCAAAGTCTTCCCTGCTTGGTATAACATCTTGTATTTATCCATCAGAAACCGTTGCTCCTTTGGGTTCCTCGACTTGAACTTTTTGGTCAGGTTGTCGCACTCGGCACCCAACGCGTAACACATCGAGCACGGCCGGTTGCTACCGTGCTGGAATGTGCTTGTCACCTTGCAGCTTTCTGGGTAGTCGCAAGGATAGCTATAGAATAACGGCCTCACAAGGCGTTTGACCCCTGATGGGTCAGACCACACACAACTCACTTCACTGCAGGGAGGCAAAAGACTTTGTCAATGTACTGGGCTACAGAGACCAATGCAAATCCATGGTCTGCAGTTCAAAACTGACCTGTTGCTGGCATCGATGAGTGGCTGGAGGACGATCTGCATGCACTTCAAGAACAGCTCTGTCTTGACGTTGCCTTTCCATTTCGAATGAGGCAGGGGCAGCATTGCCACCATCTGCTTCGCACTCGTTTTCCAGCGATGTTCAACAGCAATATTCCCGAGTGAGAGGACAACGGGCCAGACCTTCTGTGTGTCGTTTTTGCTTAGTTGAGTGACGTCCGAGTACACTATGAGCGCAGCAATGACCTCTTCCTTGATACGCAGTGCCTTCTGCCATATTTACAAGACAAATTAAAGTGGCAGTAGAGACAACATAGATGGTGTTTAGCTCACCTATCACCCCGACCCTCCCTACACACTCACATCCGAGCTCTCCTATCACTCTGATCCTCCCTACACACTCACATCCGAGCTCACCTATCACTCTGACCTTCCCTACACACTCACATCCGAGCTCACCTATCACTCTGACCTTCCCTACACACTCACATCCGAGCTCACCTATCACTCTGATCCTCCCTACACAGTCACATCCGAGCTCACCTATCACTCTGACCCTCCCTACACAGTCACATCCGAGCTCACCTATCACTCTGACCCTCCCTACACACCCACATCCGAGCTCTCCTATCACCCCGACCCTCCCTACACACTCACATCCGAGCTCTCCTATCACTCTGATCCTCCCTACACACTCACATCCGAGCTCACCTATCACTCTGACCTTCCCTACACACTCACATCCGAGCTCACCTATCACTCTGACCTTCCCTACACAGTCACATCCGAGCTCACCTATCACTCTGACCCTCCCTACACAGTCACATCCGAGCTCACCTATCACTCTGACCCTCCCTACACACCCACATCCGAGCTCTCCTATCACCCCGACCCTCCCTACACACTCACATCCGAGCTCTCCTATCACTCTGATCCTCCCTACACACTCACATCCGAGCTCACCTATCACTCTGACCTTCCCCACACACTCACATCCGAGCTCACCTATCACTCTGACCCTCCCTACACAGTCACATCCGAGCTCACCTATCACTCTGACCCTCCCTACACAGTCACATCCGAGCTCACCTATCACTCTGACCCTCCCTACACACTCACATCCGAGCTCACCTATCACTCTGACCCTCCCTACACAGTCACATCCGAGCTCTCCTATCACCCCGACCCTCCCTACACACTCACATCCGAGCTCTCCTATCACTCTGATCCTCCCTACACACTCACATCCGAGCTCACCTATCACTCTGACCTTCCCTACACACTCACATCCGAGCTCACCTATCACTCTGACCTTCCCTACACACTCACATCCGAGCTCACCTATCACTCTGACCCTCCCTACACAGTCACATCCGAGCTCACCTATCACTCTGACCCTCCCTACACACTCACATCCGAGCTCACCTATCACTCTGACCCTCCCTACACACCCACATCCGAGCTCTCCTATCACCCCGACCCTCCCTACACACTCACATCCGAGCTCTCCTATCACTCTGATCCTCCCTACACACTCACATCCGAGCTCACCTATCACTCTGACCTTCCCTACACACTCACATCCGAGCTCACCTATCACTCTGACCCTCCCTACACAGTCACCTCCGAGCTCACCTATCACTCTGACCCTCCCTACACAGTCACATCCGAGCTCACCTATCACTCTGACCCTCCCTACACACTCACATCCGAGCTCACCTATCACTCTGACCCTCCCTACACAGTCACATCCGAGCTCTCCTATCACCCCGACCCTCCCTACACACTCACATCCGAGCTCTCCTATCACTCTGATCCTCCCTACACACTCACATCCGAGCTCACCTATCACTCTGACCTTCCCTACACACTCACATCCGAGCTCACCTATCACTCTGACCTTCCCTACACACTCACATCCGAGCTCACCTATCACTCTGACCCTCCCTACACACTCACATCCGAGCTCACCTAACCCTGTTACAGCCCTTGCCATCGCCGACCACTCACCTGGGCTTCGAGCCACCAGTTGCAATGTTGGGGGCGTGTATAAATCCTCTTGTTGTTGCGTTTCTTTATGCTCGGGTACAGTGCGAATCCTTTTTGGTTGCACCGGTCTTCAAAAATCGCCTGCACCACCTGGAAAACACGTAAAACGAAAAACGATCGTTAAATCACCACCAAATAGATTCTCTGTAGTGAAAGAGCATCACTCCCCGTGACTTACCTTGAGAGTGTCCGTGTATTTCAAGGGCACATAGACGGGTCGGCCATTCTCCAACACCCCTGGGACCTCGACCATTGTCGTCTTCCACTCGGGCGCTTTCGAGCCCCACTTGTCCGCAGCCCACTTTTGCGCATCTTTTATGCTCCGCCAGCCTTGGAGATCCTCGGAGTTGAAGCCCGGGTGGCATACGACCCGCAAAAACCGCTTGCTCTCTTCAACGGTCATGCCCTGCCCTTCACGGAAGCTTTGCATCAGTAACAGCAGCTCTTTTCGTGTGTCAAAGATTCCAGGCCCCCAATCGAAGTCAATCGGCTCTTGAGAGGCGTCGGGCTGAAAGGCGATTTGCTCGTGCTCATTCGTTGGCGCATCAAAGTGTGGCGCGGTAGTGTGAGCTTCTTGTGCGGGGCTTGTAGGAACTCCCGGATCGTCAATCCGCCTACGCTTGTGATGATGGCATGCGGGTGGCGGATCCTTGTGAATCTGTCCATCTTCGGTAGCCTTCAACGGGCCGTTCTCATAGCCCTCGTCACGAAGGCGAGCTTGATGCAGCCTACACTCTACGTTGTTGGTCTGATGAGACTTCAGAGCACGGTGCGTCTGGAAGAGTGCTGCGCACCACGCACACAGGATAAGTGATAACATCACTAAATAACGTGCTCTCGGAGTTGCTGCCATAACAAAGGCAAATCTGAAGCCGTCGACGGCTTCCTATCCCGCAAAATCTGAGAAAGGGACTGCGGAAATGAAGGCGTTGTAAGCCTACGCGGCTTTTATGAGGATCGATCGACATGCTGTGCAGTAGAAGCGAATAGAGACTACAGAGCGTCAAATCACTAGCGATCGTTCTTCCAAGTGCACGACCCTTGGCGTCTTGGCGGTCGAAATCCTGCTAGTGCGCTTCGCGGCAAATCGTAACAGATCGTGCCTCATCGGTCGAAACTTGTACCTGTTGTGTGAGGCACGAACTTCGTGTGTTCAAACCTTTGATCTCGCTCCGTTATAAGTTTTACACTGGTTGTTTCAAAAACTCACTAAATAAAAGAGCCAGGAAATCGATAACTCACATCTTTACATTCCATTCCACAACTATTTGCACGAAACAATTCAACTTATCAGAGGTGTTTCCATGTAGTCTCGCAAACCCAATACCCTCGAAAAAAAATCACAGGTGTGCTCGCAATACCCAATACCTTGTCGTCGTCGTCGTCGTTGCCGTCGTAGTCGCCCTTGTCGTCCTTGTCGTTCTTGTCGTCGTCGTTGCCGTCAGTGCCGTTGGTGCTCTTGCTGCTGTTGATGTTGCTGCTGCTGCTGTTGCTGCTGTTGTTGTTATTGTTGTCCTTCTCGTCCTTGTCGTCGTTGCCGTCGTTGTTGTCGGTGTTGTCGTTGGCACAGTTGTTGTTGTTGCTGCTGCTGCTGCTGCTGCTGCTGCTGCTGCTGCTGTTGTTGATGTTGTTGCTGTAGTTGTGGTTGTTGTGGCCGTTGTTGATGTTGTTGTGGATGTTGTTGGTGTTGTTGTGGATGTTATTGTTGTTCTTGCTGTTGCTATTGTTGTCGTTGTCGTCGTCGTCGTCGTTGCCGTCGTAGTTGCCCTTGTCGTCCTTGTCGTTCTTGTCGTCGTCGTTGCCATTCGTGCCGTTGGTGCTCTTGCTGCTGTTGATGTTGCTGCTGCTGCTGCTGCTGTTGCTGCTGTTGTTGTTATTGTTGTCCTTGTCGTCCTTGTCGTCGTTGCCGTCGTTGTTGTCGGTGTTCTCGTTGGCACAGTTGTTGTTGCTGCTGCTGCTGCTGTTGTTGATGTTGTTGCTGTAGTTGTGGTTGTTGTGGCCGTTGTTGATGTTGTTGTGGATGTTGTTGCTGTTGTTGTTGCTGTTGTTGTGGATGTTATTGTTGTTCTTGCTGTTGCTATTGTTGTCGTTGTCGTCGTCGTCGTCGCCCTTGTCGTCCTTGTCGTCGTCGTTGTCGGTGTTGTCGTTGGTGCAGCTGTTGTTGTTGCTGCTACTGCTGATGCTGTTGCTGGTGGTGCTGCTGCTGATGCTGCTGCTGGTGCTGCTGCTGTTGTTGATGATGTTGTTGCTGTAGTTATGGTTGTTGTGGTTGTTGTTGATGTTGTTGTAGATGTTGTTGCTGTTGTTGTTGTTGCTGTTGTTGTGGCTACTATTGTTGTTCTTGCTGTTGCTATTGTTGTCGTTGTCGTCGTCGTCGTCGTCTTCGCCCTTGTCGTCCTTGTCGTCGTCGTTGTCGGTGTTGTCGTTGTTGCAGTTGTTGCTGTTGCTGGTGCTGCTGATGCTGTTGCTGGTGTCAGAACATCATAGCTTACTCATTTCTGTAGGCTATAGTGGGGTATCCCATAGGGGGTACAACCCAATTAGGGTTTCATATTTGTACTCACTTCATTTCATAGTCATTCATTCACGTTCCTTTCTTCACAGCTGGTGCTGCTGCTGCTGGTGCTGCTGTTGGTGCTGCTCCTGTTGTTGCTGATGTTGTTGCTGTAGTTTTGGTTGTTGTGGCTGTTGTTGATGTTGTTGTAGATGTTGTTGCTGTTGTTGTTGCTGTTGTTGTGGCTGTTATTGTTGTTCTTGCTGTTGCTATTGTTGTCGTTGTCGTCGTCGTCGTCGTCGCCCGTGTCGTCCTTGTCGTCGTTGTCGTCATTCTTAAAACGGCTCACAAAAAATATTTTGCATCATTTTTAGCACATATTTTTCGAACATGTACACCATGAAGGAAGCTTACCAACTCTTAGCACCAACTGTGGCTTGTGCAGCTGTGAATGACACAGTTGATAATTGTGGTTTTCCAAATAAATGCAACAAATGTGAATTCATATCCAGTTGCTGTGTACTAGATCAGTTGCTAATTTGTCATTGAATTTATCACCATAAAGCGAGGGTCAGACGTTGATTCCGTAAATACACCCCACATGACGGTGGAGGTAGTGAGCGACTCCTGCCGTGCACAGCTGGAACATTTGTCGTTATTCATGTTGCGACAAAGTTCGAAAGTGGCGGAATTGAACAGCACATGGCCTGGTTGGGCATGTTGCCATTTCGTCCTCACTGTACACCTGGTCCAATTTTGCCGAAGACAGCAACATCCATGTCGACCCTCACCTCCTATTCGCGGAATCACAAGTTTCCTGGCAACACAACGAATGAGTGACCATCTGGACGCGAACGAACTAGGCACAGTAACCACTTCTTGAGATGTGTGGTTGCGATTAGGGCGGAGTGCATCAAGCGATCCTTGCTATAAGTTTTGTCCGATGTGTAAGGGTATTACTGTACACCTGCTGCACCACAGCCACTTGGTCATGCCGACCAAACAACCCTATACCAGACTGATCCCACAGCTTGCGATCCACTTCAATCAGGCGTTGATGGTGCACCGGGTGCACGTCGATCCTTCTCGCAATTTTTTTTCTGTCGTCCAGCGACGCAGCGAAATGACAACGAGAATAAAACGAACGAATTACAAAGTCAGCCGCGAAAAAACACTGCAGTGGCGACCCCCGACCGCATCCATTGGTGCTTGGGGATCGCGACTGCAAAATTGCACATCCCTTGATACACCCCGCCCTTACACTTCCCCACAGATCATCCTCGTAGCCTCGTAACTGCTCCTTTCCCACCTTGACTAGCTTAGAAGGTTACGATTTGTTGTTGCCAACTGATCGTGCGGACCATACATCGTCTTCTTCATTCGAATGTTCAAACTAAGGCAATTCAAACACTCAAACAATCGCCTCTACTGATAGTTAGAGCACGGAGGAGGACTTGGCTTTGTTTCCTCACTTCCCAGCTCCTCCTGAAGCTCTCGCGCCAAACTGTAGTTTACATTTGGCGCCAACACTGGAGGCTTACAAACCAGACGTTTCTCTGAATTGTGATTAGCTCGTATATTGACAAGATGTCGAACCTATTCCATGCCCAGACTTTCTCAACAGATAGCAGTGCTCGTAGCAGGTGGCGTTTTCAGCTGCCTAGGCTCTCAATCACCTGCTAGCAGAACATCAATACACCTGCCAAGCGCCGCCGATCACCTGCCCAACCATGCATTTCACCTGCCCAAATGTAGTGCTCACCTGCCCTTTGGCGCCAATCAACTGCGCTTGTAGGAGCTTCAATCTAATCGCCCAGCTTAACTACTACTTAAGTCACAACTCGCTGGGCATTATTATCATATTCATCCGTCTCCTAGTTCCTATCTTCCTCGGTACGGTCTTCACCACCTCCAGAACTATGGCTACTGTCCTTGCTGTCCGGAGCGAGGTGACAGGCAAGCGCCCCATCAAGCTGACCCCGAAGATGCAGGGAGCTGGGGGTCTTGGTACCCGCTTGAGTGGCGGTGTCAAGAAGCGCAAGGCTGTTGGCGGCCGACTGATCACGAAAGCGCGCAAGGATGGCGCTTCTGAGCACGTCGATGACAACGATGATGTCGACGATGTTGCGGGCAACACCGGCATTGACAACGCCTCTGCTGCCGCAGCTGACCCGTCTAGCGGTGCTGGTGATGCCGCTCCCTTGGGGGTTCAAGTCCATGCTGACGACTTCAGTGATGAGGAGCATGATGAGGAAGAGGAACGCACGAAGCTGCAGACGGAAAAGCAAGGTAAGAGCTCTTGAATTTTTCTTGCCCTGTTCTTTGGAACTTGTGTTGTGCTTGTATTCCAGATCTTCTCTTGTGCTTGTATCCCAGTTTTAACCGTAACGCTCATTTCCTGTGCCGCAGGGGACGGGCGACAGGACACGCTGAACAACATCACCGAGCGTGATGGGGCGTCGCTTCCCTCTCAAAGTCCTGCTGGGAGCCCCCTGGAGGGTGTTGCCGCGGCATCTGACCAGGCTGCTAACGGGCGGCTTGCTGAGTTGGAGCGAACCACGCAGCAGCAGTCACAGCTGATTTCGTCGCTTTTGTTGCAACTTAACAACGGGTCCTGCTCCCTGGAGAGGGGTGCGGTGGGTCATGCCTCGGGGTCTCCAAGCACCAATGGAACGCCGCGATCAGCACCAACGTCGCAGCAAGCTCATGTCGCCACACCCGAACGCGAAATGCTGCAGCGCCTGACATCCAACCGTGCTTCCCCTGCTGTGCCGCGGAAGCGGAAGTATCCAACGATGAAGAACAACGGTAACGTGTGCGACGTAGTCCTGCACACGTCACTCAGCGGTATCCCGTTGAGGGACCAGATCCTCATGCGCCAGTTGCCTTCCTATGGCAAGGCATGGAACGTAAGTGCCATATCGAAAGTGTGGAATGGGGGTTGGTGGGTTATGTTTGTGTGGGTTATGGCTAAGGGGCATTGCTGTTTGCTCATCCCCTCTTCACCCTTTCCTCACGCCCCTCCTTTTCTGGCCTTGTTCTGTTTTGAGTCGACTTGTTCTTCTCGCATGCTGATTTGCCACGTTTCCAAGTTTCCAAATCTCCCTATTCTTTTCCGCATTCCCATGTACCAGAAAAAAATGGAGCTTGCTGTGGTTGTGGCGTTCTTTCGCCAACCGGACGACGTTACGAGCGTGTACCCGTCAGAAAGCGTGGTGATGCGGTGCCTCATCGGCGTTTGGGGCGAGAGCAAGGCTGCCGCGCTAGTAGCAGTCATGACGTACTGCGTGGCGCGGGCAGGCGCTTCAACGCGCAAGCAGAGTGATTGGCGTGCGCGGATCTCGATGAATGGGCGCCGGAATTTTGCTGACGCCTATGGGCTAGTTTGCGAAGCGAATCCCCGTCTGAAGTTCGATTACAGCGAGCTGATTTGTGATGAGGAGCGCACACCGACCCAAGTATACAACTTGGAGAGCAAGGGTGGGATACCACTGGTCAAGCCTCTTGGTAAGTGCAGTACGTGAGCATTGGTAACCACAGTTGTTACGCATGGTGCTGTATACGTCTTATGTTCTTGGCATACCCTTGGTTAAGCAAGTACCCACCTTTCCATATAACGTATGACTGCAATGTCTGTTTCCATTGTTTATATATCTATGTGCTGAGCAGAAAAGGGAGGGCTTCTTATCTGGCACTTTGCTGAAGGCACGATGCGCCCGTTTGGCACTGCGCTCTTCGACATCATCGTCCGCAACGCATTTCAGAAGGGTGCTGGCGGGTCGGCTACGGTGGTGAAGGCGTACCACATTGCCTATCTGCTGTATCTGGTACGTATGAGTGTGATTTTTTACGTTTGCACATGTGCGAGCACTTTGTTTCTTGTGTTGAATTGTAGCTGTAAGATTGGTTGCGTGAAGATTGCCTTGCATAGCCAGTTGGTCGCCCCATCTTCCCTCGAACCATCTTCCCTCCGACCCTCCCGCCAACCAATCGCACCATCAAATGGCCCCACCCGCCCCTCCCTGCCGCTTCTTGTCCCTTACCTCTCCCCCTCCCCTCCCCTTTTTCCCATTTCATTTTTTCCTCATCTTTACTGAACCCCAGGTACGGGCAGTCCCCCTTTGAGTTCTCACTGGGCGAGTCAGGAGGGAGCCTGCAGCTCGCAGTGATGAGCGGCACCATCAAATGGCCGCACCCGCCGCTCTCCGCCTCCTCCTTTCCATCCCCTAATCTCCCCTCTTTTCTCCTTCTCCCCATTTTCCCCCCTCCCCCACCCCTACCCTTGCTTCCTGCACTCTTTCCCCGGCCCTTTCTCCCCATTCCCTCCCGCCTTTTTTCTTCTCCTTTCCCGAACCCCAGGTACGGGCAGTCCCGTTTCGAGTTCTCCCTAGGCGAGTCAGGAGGCATGGTGCAGCTCGCAGTGATGGGCGGCACCATTAAATGGCCCCACCCGCCGCTCCCTGCCTCCTCCGCCATCCCTTAATCTCCCCTTTTTCTCCTTCTCCCCCTTTTTTCCCCCTCCCCCACCCCAACCCTTGCTTCCTGCACTCTTTCCCCGGCCCTTTCTCCCCATTCCCTCCCGCCTTTTTTCTCCTTTCCCGAACCCCAGGTACGGGCAGTCCCCCTTTGAGTTCTCACTGGGCGAGTCAGGAGGCAGCCTGCAGCTCGCAGTGATGAGCGGCACCATTAAATAACCCCACCCGCCCCTCCCTGCCTCCTCCGCCATCCCCTAATCTCCCCTCTTTCTCCTTCTCCCCATTTTTCCCCCTTCCCTGTTTCCCATGCCACCCTGCCCATTTCCTGCCACACTGGCAGAAGCTTGTAGGGCGTTGATTCCATGCCCAGCGTGTTGCACTCCATACTTCATGCATCAACCGTTCTCCCATGTTGCCCCTCTCCACTCCAACCACCCCTTATGCTGGCAAGAGCATAGAGGGGCTCAGTTTTGTGCCCGTCTTGTTGCTCGGTGCACTTGCACTCTGCCTAATGCTGCCCATCCCTTTCCCTGCTCACCACCCCTCAGGAACGTGGAGTGGAGGTGTCATCGCATGCCTTTTGTGCTCTATCACCTCCCACCTGCCTGCCATGTCCAGTTTGCCTAACCAACACTACCTTTCCCCTTTAATCTGCACTCCCCCGTTGTAACAGGTTGAATATTCCGTGGTGCACCACAAGGCTCGTGGCAAACGCATTCCTACGGATGCGGATGTGAATGCAGCTGACATTGCCTGCTACCACCGCAAGGTGAAGGCGGCCATTCGCAAGACCCTCGAGGAGTCTCCGGATGACCAGCTTCCTGCATGGTCGGAGCAGTATCAGGGGTGGGTGTTTGGACCCACCGAGACTGTGGTGATCTCGGGCAGCGGGTTCCCCGACCTCGTTCCCGATGGGGCTGACCCCGATGCCGCCGAGAAGAAGGCGGTTGCTCTCCTGTTCGAGTATGCCCAGGTGGAGCCCGAGAAAGGCAAGAAGAAGAAGACGGGTTCCAACAACAGTGATGCCACCATGGAGCGTGATCTCCTGGATGATGTGGGTGAGTGGGAGGATGCGGAGGATAGTGTGTAGACGTGGATGATGTGGGCGGCCGAGTTGGTGCCATGCTGGGATCTGTTGTATTATATAGCTTATGTATTATATATAATTGGGAAATGGACAAATGGTTACATTCCGGATACAAACATCTGGGTCACTTTCAGCAAGAAATTGGAGCCCCAAATTTGCACAGATTCCATACAATTGGTCAGGCAAATGTATGTTTTTTTAACAGAAAATGCATGACTAACGGGAGGCAGTTTCATGATGTTGGGACAGCAAATGTAATATAAGTGACATGTAAATGAGGAACATTTACTAACTAAATAGCTAGTCCTTTTCGTATGGAAATGGACCCTACTAAAAAGGTACGACAACTTCTACTTTATAGTAGGCCTAATCACCCCTACTAAATACATACCAAGGAGTATAGAAAAGGTATGTAAAAGGTATGTATAATCAATAGGGATTTTTGAGATGATCTCCGCTCTGAACAATGACCTGGCCGGGATACTCGGCTCGGGCGTTGGCTCGGGCTCAGGCTTGGGCGCAGGCTTGGCGGGCGCGTTGCGTCCAGCAGCTGGGGCAGCTTCCACGAGTGGGAGCGCGGCGATCCGCGCGGCCGTGAGGCAACGTCTGGTGGCTGTGACGCAGCGAGTCGCGGGGCTCAACGAGAACGTGTCCGCCCTCTCCGGGATGGTGACCGACTTGCACGGCGCGCTGAGCAACGCTCTGGATGACGCTTTGAACAGCGCTCTCAACGGCGCTGTGAACGACGCTCTGAATGGGGGTTTGAACGACGGCGGTGTGCGCGGTGGCGTTGTGGGGAATCTCGCGAATCTTCTGCCTCAGCCGGCAGGCATGCTGCGAGCTGTGCTGACGTCATGCAACGGCCTGCTGTCTCTCCAGGCCGGCGCTGCTGACATTCAGATCCTCAAGATGTGAGTCACTTGTGTTGACTGTTGACTCGTGTTGACTCCTGTTGGCTGTTGACTCTTGTTGACTCCCGTTGACTCCTGTTGGCCCAGGCTGACTCCTGGTGACTCGTGTTGACTCGATGTTGAACCATGTTCCCTTCCCTTCCACACCGTCCACATCCCTCCCCTCCCATACGCAGTGGCTCAGATTACATGGTCACATACTACCTCTTCGTTGGGGGAGTGACCAAGGCCCCGGACTCGCAGGCCATCTTCAAGGGCAACGCCTGCGGCACCGCTGTTGCTTCAGCAGCCCTCGCTCTGCTTGGCACGTGGGTGCCCATGAGCCCTGTGTCCTGGTCGCTGGCCAATGTCGTGAGGGCGTCAGCTGCTGACGTGGCGGATGTGCTGGCGTTGATCCAAGGGATCACCAATGATGACCTGTTCCTCGGATTCTCCGGTGCTGACGTGGCACTCTCAGGGAGAACGATGGGTGGAAGGGTGTGACTCGCACTGCATGTCAACAAGAACAGGGGTTGGTGAGGGAACATTGCAGAAGCACCACTCATGCTTGGAGATACAAAAATAACGTGCAGCTAGATGCAGTTGTATGTCACGGGATAGGAGAAAATGCTTTTGTAATGTTCCATTCATCAAAAGGAGTTTTGTTTGATGGCCCGTTACGTGATAGCTATAAAAACCTCCACTTAGGTCTTGGTTGGAGGTAACAGGGACAATCCCATGCTTGTGCAAAAGGCCTCACTTTCAAACAAATATTTGAACCTTCCTTCCTTGTGTAACAATCCCCAAAGTGTGGGAGAAGCTAAGGTACCAGAATGGTCCCGTAAGATCTTGTACCGTATCAGCATAGTGCTTCAGGCAGGAGCCACACCCCACCACTGGACACTGATTCATGCAGCTGCATCAGGAGCAGCAACAGAGCAGCAGCAGCGCTTCACACAGGCCCCCCATGAAAGAGCACCAGCTGTGGCAGTAGGGAAAGAAACAGCTCTCGATACCCATCCCACTGGCACACAGGATTCCTGAGGCGCCTAAAAAATCAGCAGCAGCAGCGCTGCTTCACACAGAGCCCCCATCAAAGAGCACCAGCTGTGGCAGCAGGGAGAGTACCAGTTCCCGATACCCATCCCACTGACACACAGGATTCCCCGTCAAATCAAGCACTGCCACCTGGCGCAGCCTGCCTAGACACTGCAGCACCACTCACAGGTTCGGATGCTGCCGAACCAGATCCAGGGTTGCTGCTGCTGGTGGTGGTTCGGCAGCAGGTTTGGCGAATGGACTACGTGGGCTACTGGATTGTGTGGAGTTGACTTCACACTGTAGGAAGCTAGGGTAATTTGTTTGTGTTACAATCCCAAATGGGACTTAGCGATGGATCGCTCAGGGTTGATCGCAGAGTAGTGTTGCAGCGGAAGTTTAAATCTCAGGTTAGAGTGAATGTAAATGACTGAGTTGATAATAGCATGCATACATCGGGTTTGTTACAAATAGTAATACTTGAACATTACTGTGCACTCCTCACCACAGCAAAGAGAAGCACGCAGTATCGCGAATGAACGCGAAGCGTCAGACGGTTGGAACGCATCTGAACCGTCGGAGCAGACAGCATCAGGCAGCTGCAGGCAGGATGGTTTCAGCGGGAACAGTTTCGTAACTATTCGCGCCGCACAGTTGGGAATGTATTTGAATAAGGGAATTTACCCCTTAGAGTACATGGCTAGCTAGGTCGATTCATATTCCCCTGTACTCTTATTTATATCGTTGTATTTGCATGTCTTAATCATCTCAAGCATTTTACATTCACTCTGTTATTGAGGTCAAGGGCCCACCAACACCACTTCTCTGTATGCGAACCTTCCTGAGTAGATCCTAGGCCACGATCAACTTCTGATTCCAGCATGGTATGAGAGCGACTCAGGAATCCTTCGCACCGCCATCTCCGAAGTCTGCGACATTCGGAAAGTGGCGTCCGGCACACGATCACGTGTAAGAATGGCCGGAGGATCTAGAGGTCAGACAAATCTAACGGCTGAAGCGCAGCCCAACCCGGCTGCGACAAACGAGGAAACGACGACGATTCCCTCCGCCGTCCTTGCACAACTGCTTCAGCGACTCACGAGCATGGAGCAAGGGCTCCAGACATTGCGGAATGGCGATGTGGGAACTTCTTCCCAACCCACTCAACCGGCCCCAAACGGCCAAAACTCCGCCCAGCAAGGCTTCTCCCTAGATACGAACGGCTCAACCCCCAAGACTCCCTGTCCCAGCGATGAAGCAATTCTCTCCGCGCAATCAAGGTTTTTGAGCATATCAAAAATAAAGACAAGTGTGTGCTTTGACGGCAGAGACTTTTACACTTGGAGCTTCGAGCTGGAGCTGCTGCTGCAAAACGCGCAGATTTATCATTATTTCGACGGGAGCTACTCGGGACCTGCTGAGGACACCGACGACGCAAGGACTCGCTATTATAACGAGTCCCTGATGGCGTACGGGATTCTTTTGCGTAACATGTCGCCGGCGGAGCAGCTGAACATTCGTTCATACAAGACATCTACTGCCCCAGCCCTCGACGCTTGGCGCCACCTGAACGGCGTGTATCAGCCCAAGGACTCCGTCTCCTCAAGCCGACTACTCCAGCAACTGCTGGAAACTAAGATTACCTCAGGGGAGAAGGTCAACAGCTACATCAACCACTATCGGAGCCTTCGCGATCAAATCGTGAAGTTGGGAAGCTCGATTTCCGAGGAAATCCTCGTGAACATTGTGCTTCAAGGGCTTGGCCCAGAGTGGCGGCCCTGCAAGGCGCTCCTCCGACAGCAGGGGGTCATCTCGGAGGCCGCCCTTTGCGCCGCCCTCCTCGTCGAACAACGAGATATGGATCAGCAGCGACCAGCGCTACGACGAGAACGCGAACAGCTCGCCTTCTACGCCGACAACAACGAAGAGCGACGACCGCTGCGCCTCTACTGCAAAATCTGCAGAAACTTCGGGCATTTGGCGGATCGATGTAAGTTCCGATCTCGCCCTCGCCAGACCAATCCGAGCAACTGGTCCGGCCGACAAGACGCACGAGGCGACGTGCGTCCAGCCCAAGGGTATCAACCCCCACCCGCGCGCAATCTGAACTCAACCTTTTAGCATCAACAGCAGCAGCCATCAACTGCCCCTACGCGCAACGTCATGAGCAACATGGCCATGACAGGCGAGTCACGTTGTCGCTGTGCTCGCTCACCCTCACCTGAGCCAGCACCGCACCCCATCGGCACGTTCACCAGCAACAACCCGTTCAGCCCGCGCCGCGACTACAACGACGACGACGACCAGGACTGGAACCTCCCAGTCCCGCTGCTTGAAAGTCCCCCGCACATACCAGACATGCGGGTGGCGCCACTTGATTGGCTCTCGCGCGAGCAATTTCTGAAGTTCGACGCCCCGCACATCGTCACACCGCGATTGGCGCTGCTCGCACGTGACGACAACAAGCGCTACAACACCTGGTACCTGGACAGCTGCTGCGGCCAGCATATGGTGGGCTCCAAGCGTTACATATCCAACATCGTCCCCACCCCTACAGTCACTTACGTCACTGTGGGGAACAACACACGCCTGCGCGCAAGCGCACAAGGCATTGTCGTACTCAAAGCACGTGGAAGCCGCACGCACATCACGCTTAACGATGTGCTGATCGTCCAGAACCTGCGCTTCAACCTCCTGTCCGCCGCACAGCTCATGGACTGCAGCGTCGACCTCAGCACGGATCGCGAGACGCGAGACATCCTGCTGCACTACGAATCGTGCACATTTCCCCGCAGGCAGATTGGACGAGCGCACTCCATCATCTGGGGCAACGAGCCGTCAACCCCGCGTCGCACCGTCTACGGACCTGCCCCTAAGCCACGCGAACCGGCGTTCGTACTTGGCACGATCCCCGGGACCAACATTCCGCTCTCTAAGATTCGTGACAGAGAATTCTTGGCGCTGATGCTGACCACCGCGCTGGAAGAAGAAGAAGCAGAGGGAGTAGCAGCAGAACCTGCTCCTGTACGTGACGAAGACCCTGAGGAAGCACGCGCACGCTACACACGCACCTCCGGCTTTCGCGCTGACGATACTCTCTGGCACCAGCGCCTCGGACACCGTTCACGTGCGAAGCTGAAAAACTGCATCGACGCAGGCGTCTTCGCTCCTGGCGCACTCCTGCGCCCTGATGGCTCCGAAGTGAGAGGCGCGACACATCCGCGCAATTGCACCGTCTGCCCCGAAGCTGCGCTGAGCCACCAACCGTTCCCGCTGCTCGAACCTGGAAGGAATCGCTACCCCAAGCTACACAAGGCGTACAGCGATTTCCTGAACGTGGGGCACTGCGGAACCGAGGACGAAATGTACACGCTCACCTTTATCGACGCTGGAACGCGCTACGTGTGGGTCGTGAACGTGGAGTCACGCGACAGAGCCTACGAGGTGTTTCGCATCTGGCTGGCGCACGCAGAGCGACAGTCTGGGAAGAAGTTGAAAATCTGGCAATTTGACAGCGCGACAGAATTCAGGAGCAACCAGATGCAAACCTACCTCATGCAAAAGGGGATTGAGCACCATATTTCTCTCCCCTACGCGCACCAGCAGCAGGGCGTAGCTGAGCGGACGAACCGCACGCTAATGACGAAGGTGCGCGCGCCGATGAAGCAGTCGGAATTGCCGCCGATCTACTCGACCTACGCAATGCACCACGCAGTACGGGTGCACAACCTACTCTCGACCACCGCCATCACCGGCAATCTGTCCCCGCACGTCAAATGGACCGGGACCAAAGGGGATACCTCCATGCTGCGCGTATGGGGGTGCATGGTTCAATACCGCCCGCCGACCTCAACCATCGGCAAATTCGCCAGCCGCGCTCGCTGGGGGATCCACCTCGGCATCAGTTACGAGTACAAGGCGTGGATCGTGCGGGACCTCCTCAGTCAGAAAATCGCTCACGCTTGCGACGTCATCTTCTACGAGCGTTGTCAGAATGTATTTGCTGTTTAGCCTGCAGTGGGGTACTCTGTAGTGAGTACAACCCAGTTTAGGGTTTGCTATTTGTATCCCAACTTTCTATAGTGAAACCCCTCATTCTTCCTTCTCGACTTTCCTCACCCAAAATTCTCTCGACACTCACTAGCCATGGCTCCTAAGTCACGCTAGTATTCTAACATGGTATTAAGAGCAATAGTTCCTAGGACCTCACATTAATGGGCCCACCACCTAATGCCCTGCTAGCCTAGGCCCCGGCCCGTCGCTCCTTGGCGTCGCCCCAAGCCCCTAGGCTCGGCCCCTTGGCCCCGTCGCCCCTAGCTCGGCCCCTCGGCCACGCTGGCCCCGTCGATTCCGTCGCCCGCGCCCGGCCCGTATCTAGCCCGCGATCGGCCCGTACCTAGCCCGCGCCCGGCCCCGTCTCGCGCCCGCGCTCGGCCCGTACCTAGCCCGTGATCGGCCCGTTCCTAGCCCCGCGCCCGGCCCGTACCTAGCCCGCGACAGGCCCGTGCCTAGCCCGCGCTCGGCCACGTCTTACGCCTGCGCCCGGCCCCGTCTCTTGCCCGCGCCCGGCCCGTACCTAGCCCGCGCCCAGCCCCGTCTGTCGCCAGCGCCTGGCCTCGTACCTAGCCCGCGCCCGGCCCGTATAACGCCCGCGCCCGGCCCCGTACTTAGCCCGCGCCCCGGCCCCGTACCTGCCCAGCGCCCGGCCCCGTACCTGCCCAACGCCCGGCCCCGTACCTGCCCAAAGCCCGGCCCCGTACCTGCCCAGCGCCCGGCCCCATACCTGCCCAGCACCCGGCCCTGTACCTGCCCAGCGCCCGGCCCCGTTCCTGCCCAGTGCCCGGCCCCGTACCTGCCCAGCGCCCGGCCCCGTACCTGCCCAGCGCCCGGCCCCGTACCTGCCCAACGCCCGGCCCCGTACCTGCCCAGCACCCGGCCCCGTCCCTAGCCCAGCACCCGGCCCCGTATCTGCCCAGCGCCCGGCCCCGTTCCTAGCCATGGCCCCGTCGCCCCTAGCCATGGCCCCTCTCGACCTGCCGCCCCTAAGCGCGGCCCCGGTGCCCTGTTGCAACATGGTGGGTGAGGGGGTGGCAAGAGGGGGTTCCTCCTGCCCGCGTGCCCTACAGTCGCACGCGCAGCTCCGCCCCCGCCCCCCTCCCCCCCCTCCCCCCCCTCCATGGGGATGGCGGGGAGAGGGTGTGAGGGGGTGGCGGATGTGCCTCAGCAGCAGCAGCTGCCGCCATGCCTCCTCCTCTCTCTCTCCCTGCCGCACCTTGTGTTGGGAGAGGGGGGGAGCTTGGAGGTTCAGGGGGAGGCAGGAGGGGATCTGCAGCACCAGCCCCCCCCAACCCTTCTCCTACCTCCCCATGCTGCGGGTGCAGCAGAAGGGGGGAGGGGATCTGCAGCACCGACCCCCCCCCCCCCCCCCCCCCTCCACCCCCCCCTTCCCTTCTCCTACCTCCCCCTGCAGCGGGTGCAGCAGTGGGGGGGAGGAGATCTGCAGCACCAGCCCCCCCCCCCCGCCCCCCTCCCCCTCCCCCTTCTCCTCCATCCCCTGCTGCAGGTGCAGCAGTGGGGGAGGTTATGGGGGTGGCGGGTGTGGGTGCAACTGCGGGGTGGCGGGTATGAGGGTGGCGGGTGTGTGAACCCCCCCCATGCTCCTCCTCCTCCTCCGTCTCCCACTGCTGCAGCTGCCGCTGAGGGGGGTGAGTGTGTGGGAGCCGAGGGAGTGGTGCTAGGGGGGTGACGTGGGAGTGGAGCTAGGGGTGCAGCAAGGGGTGTGTGAAAGGGGGGTGAGACTGCTGGGGGAGGTTGAGCGGAGGCTGCCATCTTGTCGTCCGCAGCACCTGTAGTCCGGGGCTCTGCTTCTGGTAGCTCAGAGAGCCTGCTGCGCCTGTCGCCTGTGGGTCTGTTGCTCCTGCCGCTCAGAGCTAGCCGCAGAGCTAGTTACTCCTGTAGTTCGGAGATACGGCTCCGGTAGCCACAGTGCGCGCCACTCATGTTGCCCGTGTGTCTGCAGCATCAGCCGTCGCCTCCTATCTCCTCTCCTCTCACAGTCCAGCCTCCTCCTCCTCACTTGCCCTTTGTGAATACCTCTAGCTTTGCTTGTACTGGTGAACCTGCTCTATGACTGCTTGCTCTGCTGATTATACCCCACTTTGACTATGGGGGTGTGTCAGAATGTATTTGTTGTTTAGCCTGCAGTGGGGTACTCTGTAGTGAGTACAACCCAGTTTAGGGTTTGCTATTTGTATCCCAACTTCCTATAGTGAAACCCCTCATTCTTCGTTCTCGACTTTCCTCACCCAAAATTCTCTCGACACTCACTAGCCATGGCTCCTAAGTCACGCTACTATTCTAACAAGCGCCTCTTCCTCGACCAGTTCCGCCGCGACGAAGAAACGAACGCGAACCGCGTCTACGCTAACGATGGGCACAGCTACGCAACGCCCGAAGACGAAGCCGCTGCAGCAATCTTGGAGCAGGACACGAGGGGCGAGTTTGTGTGGGAAGAACGACGCAGCAGCGACGACGACGACGACGATTCCTCGGGAGGAGGAATGGGCGCAGCAGGCGGAAGCGGAATAGGCGGAAGCGGCAGAGGCACAGCACCACCAGCGCCTCCTGAACCAGAAAGCGATGACGACGACGTACAGGAAGTCATCCCACAACGTTGCCACGACAGCACTATCTCAGGACTGCAGCTACTCGGGCTTCACACCGCAACTTCGAAGGCGCCACGCGTCATCGAGCCCCGAAATCCGCGCGAAGCTCTTTCTGGACCACACAGCAAGGAGTGGCGCGAAGCAATGGATGCGGAAATCCGGGCACTCGAGTCGCGCGACACCTGGGTGCTCGTCGATCGTGCAGCAGTAAAGGGGAGAAGGGATTCTCTCCGGCAAATGGGTCTTCCGAGTGAAGACAGGAGCCGACGGAAGGATTGAGCGATTCAAGGCACGCTGGGTGGTACGTGGCTACGATCAAAGGCATGGGATTGATGTTGACCAGACATTTGCACCGGTCAGCCGTCACACGTCCGTCCGAATTCTCCTCGCCATCGCAGCCGCACGACACCTACCACTCCGGCAGATCGATGTGAAGAATGCGTTCCTGTACGCATTAGTGGACGCCGTGATCTACGTGGAACAGCCACACACTTACGGCGACGGAGACCCACGCGTCTGTCACCTACGCAAGTCCCTCTATGGGATCAAACAGGCACCGAGAGTCTGGCAGCAGTATCTGCACAACATACTGCTTGAAATCGGGTTCAAGCAGCTGCCTCACGATCCTGGAATGTATCGTCGCGATTTCCGCGGCGAATACATCCTCCTCACGGTCTACGTCGACGACCTTCTCTACACAGGCTCAAGCAACGAACTGCTCGAGCAGTTTGAGAGAAGCCTCGCAGGGCGCGTCGACATCACCTGCAATCATGACGTGAAGCAGTTTCTCGGACTCAACATCACCTACTCACCGGAAGCCATTCATCTCTCAGCGGCGAAGTATGCGGAGGAGCTTAGCAAGCGCTTCAACATTGCGCCTGCACCACTCTCCACCCCTTACCGCACTCCAGGACCCAACCACAAGCCTGACAGCAAAGCCCTGTCCCCTGCTGGGCTTCACACTTACCAGCAGCAGTTGGGATGCCTGCTTTTCGCATCCGTTACCTGCTGGCCCGACCTCTCCTACATTGCGAGCCAGTTGGCTCAGTACTCACGCAAACCAACGGCTGAGAATCTCTCAGATCTTCAGCAAGCCCTTCAATTCTTCATCTCCACGCCCTATGTCGGGCTCAGTTATTCCACCATCCCAACCACATCCTTCAGTCTCGTCGGCTACGTGGATGCTGATCACGCCGCTGACCCTGACAATCGACGGTCCAGGACAGGGTTCCTCTTCCGCCTCGAGCCCAGCGGCCCCATCTCCTGGAACTCTCAGAAGCAGGAGTTGGTTGCCCTGTCATCGGCAGAAGCTGAATTTATCGCAGCAACAGCAGCTGTTCGCCAAGGTCTCTACCTTCAGGAACTGCTGCAGGAAGCGAAAATTCCGGCCTCAACAAACTTTCGCCTGCACTGCGACAACCAGAGCGCGATTCGCATCGCAAACAATCCTGGTTTCGTCAACCGCACCAAGCACATTGCGCTGCAGAACTTCTTCGTGAAGGATGAGGTGGACAAGGGCAAGGTCAACTTGACCTACTGCCCGACCGGTGACATGGCAGCAGACTTCCTCACGAAGCGACTGCCACGCCATCAGTATCAGCACTGCTCCGATCTCAGCGGCGTGGTCAAGCAGGTCAAGTCGAGCTGCGGCCAGGAGTGAAGGGGGGTGTTACGAATAGTAATACTTGAACATTACTGTGCACTCCTCACCGCAGCAAAGAGAAGCACGCAGTATCGCGAATGAATGCGAAGCGTCAGACGGTTGGAACGCATCTGAACCGTCGGAGCGGACAGCATCAGGTAGCTGCAGGCAGGATGGTTTCGACGGGAACAGTTTCGTAACTGTTCGCGCCGCACGGTTGGGAATATATTTGAATAAGGGAATGTACCCCTTAGAGTACATGGCTAGCTAGGTCGATTCATATTCCCCTGTACTCTTATTTATATCGTTGTATTTGCATGTCTTAATCATCTCAAGCATTTTACATTCACTCTGCTATTGAGGTCAAGGGCCCACCAACACCACTTCTCTACGTGCGAACCTTCCTGAGTAGATCCTAGGCCACGATCAACTTCTGATCGCAGCAGAGTTTATATAAGAGTAGAGAGGAATACGAAAGGACCTAGGGTAGCCATGTACTCTAAGGTGTACATTCCCTTATTACAGCAAATTCAAACCGTGCGGCGCGGGAACCCGTTTGAAATCTTGTTCCTGCTCTTTTCACTTCAAATGTTTCTGCCTGCATCGGTCTTGGTCAGACGGTTGCCGCGTCGCTTCGACTCTCCTGACTCCTCGACTTCGTTCTCGGTAGAGTCGGCTCCTTCAGCATACAGGAATGCCTTCTCATAAAACTTCATATCGTAACAGTTTGTATGTTGGATTGCTAATCATGATCTTTTCCATCAGTTATTTCCGTTTGTAAGGAATTTTCTCGGCATTCCTTACGGAGCCCGACTACATCGCGTACAGCAACAGCCGTTGTTCGCCCGTTACTGCTAACGGGGCTTCGCCGACTTCGCGCACACTATTTTCACCAAACCTCGCACTGCTGGCATGGCCGTGTCGGCCTACGCTTCGGGACTAGCCCAAGCCTTGCTCCAGCGTAGCACTAGCTAAGCTCGCACGCACCGCGTTACCATTTGCATGTTTCGCGTATAAATGTTCGCTCATGCCTTCGCTCACATTTGGTACTCGTTTGACACCTTAGTGCAATTCTCGCTACTTTGATTCATTGCACCCGTAACACTTGGTATTCAGAGCCCCTTTCTTTCGGACCGCGCATCTCCGCACCTCAGGAAATCAACTTTTGATTTCTCACTCGAAGGTACTCACGTACCTTAGCACCTAGGAGCCGTTGTCCTCGCGTTCTCTCGTAAACGCGTACAGCCACGACTGCGCCTAGACTAAGACGAGCCGACGCCCTTCGAAATGGCTGAACATATCGATGTCACAACTCTCACGCAAGAGCACTTGAACGATCTGCTGCGACAAATCCGCGAGAGCGCCGAGGAAATTGCGACGCTGACGGCAGAACGCTCGTCCCTGCAAAACGACCTCACACGAGCACAATCCCAAGCACCCGGCACTCCGATTCAGCCCGCACCACAGACTTCACAGCACGGAAGTGTGGGGCAACCCGCGAGCGCCGCAAGTGATGGCGTCGTCCGCCATGACGGAGACGACGACCACGGCACGACACACCCCGACACGACGAATGCGGCCAGGACTCAACCTCGAGTCACGATTTCAGTGCCGGCTGGCGAATCAACTCTTCCGTCGCCGATGCCGCTAAAGCCGCAGCGTCCGCCATGCTTTGACCCAAGTCAACGGGGT